AGCACTTGATAATCCTGAGTTCACCTTTTTCCTTAAAGGGATCTATTTGCTAACTGCTAAATGATAATCAATGTTCACTGTTTGGAATATGCACCTGAAATATCTTCTACCACAGGAAGGCTGAGTACACGGATCCAATGTTGTTCTTTTAAGTTAGGGATATTTCTATCCTGATGACGCAGGTTTCATATAAAAACTAAAAACTGCACTACTTGGGACAACGGGCGTTATGTTCACGCATCGCGTGTCCGAGGTGTTTGGGCCCATGCAAGATTAAGTGGGAAACGGTAAGCAACCCCCCTCCCCCAACCCCTGCAGAGAAGGCACGCCTTCTTCTACGCACCTTCAGTCCGTAGTGAAGGTTTGATAAATGCCTGTGGATGGAAGTGCGCTGTGACCTGAATGTGCTCAGGTGACTTGCTCAAAATGACAGTTGGGCATTGGTCCAGGGGGGCCATTCTCCACACATTCTCCTGCTCACACCCCCTTCCAGCTGGCAGCAGTACGTGAGCAAGAAGACCTGCTCATACCCTGAGGTAGGCCCTGCCCGTGTGCTGATACATCATGTTAGTTCATTTAATCCCCACAAGAAGTCTACGAGGTCAATACAATTGGTATTTCCATGTACCAAGGAGGGCAAATGCAGGCACAGAGAGGTGAAGCTACTTGCCAACAAGGCACAGAGCCAGGATTCACACCCAGGCAGCCTGGCTCCTGGGCTCTTCGCTTCTAGGCTAGGTGAAATCTTAAAACAGTATGATAATAAGAATAATAGGTATCATTGATTTATATAATGATTTACTACTCTAACAGCAACAGCTAACCTTTCTTGGGTTCTCACCCTGTGCCTAGCACTGTGCTCAGCAACGTACAGACTGTAACATCTTCCCAACAGCCTTTCCAAGTGGGTCTCAGCCTTGCCTCCATTTATGACTACAGCTCAGAGAGGTTCGGCGTTCTCATCAAGTTCGTAGAGCGAGCTAGTTGTGAGGCTGGGACTGGAGAGCAGGGTTGGGTGACTCTGAAAACCCATGCCCACTGTCACTCCCTGTGCAAAGGATTCCAGTCACCAGCTCTCCCATAACCTTCCTCATGGAGGGACACTCTGAAAAGGCCAGCGTTTGCCCCTTATCCAGTATTCGTTTTGAGTACCTCTGAGTTAAATTAACTGGAACAACATGGATGCTAAGAGGTAGCAGAGTCACTGTGAGTTTTGAAATACAGCTTTTGTCCTACAAAATAGCATACTGAGAAACCTCTTTATGGATAGAAAGCCAAGGGGCCCAGAAATCAGCACTTCACCAAAACCCCAGGCAGAAACCACCCAGTTTCACAAAGTTCTATTAATAACCCAGAACAAGCAAGCAAGAGGAGGGCAAAAAGGAAATACTGACAACACAGCCAGCCCCCCAGAGCTGGTGGGGGCGTGTGGAGAGCAGCGGCCTGTGCACCTGCTGCCCTGGAATTAGGTGCCCCTCTCGAGCCAAATCGCCATCACACAGAAATGAGTTTATGGCCTCAGGTCCCAGATGCTCCTCCTGAAAACTGGGGTGATAATATAATGTCCCATTTTTTTATATTGTATTTTATATTATTATTTACTATGCTATTATTTCTATTATTATTTACTATTCTATTATTACTCCACTAAGAGAGTTCAGATAAAATAATCTAGTAGAAGTGCTTTGAAGAGCTTAATTTACAAATAAAAGAGGTTTCTATCACATTTTCAGAATACCATGTAGTGCCTGGTTGGCTCAGTTGATGGAGCGAGGGACTCTTGATCTCAAGGTTGTGGGTTTGAGGCCCACGTTGGGTGTAGGATTACTTAAAAATAAATTCTTTAATGGGCGCCTGGGTGGCTCAGTCAGTTAGGTGTCCGACTTTGGCTCAGGCCATGATCTCATGGTTTGTGAGTTCAAGCCCCATATTGGGCTCTGTACTGACACTAAGAGCCTGAAGCCTGCTTTGGATTCCATGTCTCTCTGCCTCTCTCCTGCTTGCACTCTCTCTGTGTCTTTCAAAAAATGAATCAATGGTAAAAAAAAAATTTTTTTTTTTACTAAATTCTTTTAAAAAATGTATCTCTCTTTTTTCTTACAATACTGTTCACTATATTCCCTGTGTTCTTTAGTCCCTAAATCTATAGGTAGATTTGTGTTGAAGGAAAATCACTTCACTCTTCTTTTCCAATGTCTACTTAGAATATTTTCAGTTACGTTTTGCAGAAAATTCCATACCCAGGTATTTACAAACTCCATATTACATTTTAATATAAACTACATTTTGAAGAAAACATTGATTTCATTAATTTAATTTCCATAAATAATAAATAATAATAAATCTTTTCTAATAATAAAAATGTTTTCTAAAATTTATTAACAGCCTAATAGCAATACATTTGGGCTGTGGGCCCCTAGGTTCAAATCCCAGATGTTTTTACTAGTGAAGTTACCTTGAGTAAGAGCTTGAATATCTCTCTACCACATTTTCCTTGTCCATAAAATGAGTACAATTGATCTAAATTGGTTCATTATGATGACCAAATAAATGGACTAGTCAGGATGCCTGATACATAGTTATCAACCATCAAATATTATCGTTACTATCTTAAAAGGCAAAAAAAAAAAAAAAAAAGGAATATATATTTTGCAAGGAGTTTTTTCATAAATGTTAGAGATATCCTAAACAAGTATTCTGGCTTTTAAAAATATAGGACAAAAAGGGGCACCTGCGTGGCTCAGTTGGTTAAGCATCCAACTTCAGCCCACATCAGGCTCTGTGCTGACAGCTCAGAGCCTGGAGCCTGCTTCCGATTCTGTGTCTCCCTCTCTCTCTGCTCCTCCTCTGCTTGCACTCTGTCTCTCTCTCCCTCAAAATAAATAAACATTAAAAAAATTAAAAATAAGTAACAATATAGGAAAAAAACTTCAATAGTAAAATAAATAAAATCCTGAAAAGGTGAGCTGTGAACAAAACTATTTACTTCTTCATATTATTTTTTAAAGTATACAAAACTTACAAAATAATAATACATGCTGAGATTCATAGAAGGTATACCCAGGGGAACATGGGAAATACAATAAAATTATTAAAGGTATACATATGCTTAACAAAACTGATCATGTAGGTAAACTGAGTTATGAACTCCAAAGGCCCTAAAGTTTGTTCCATGTATGTGCCAGCAACCAAGAGTAGGGGCCAAGATTGAGAGGCAACAGCTAGTTCAGGCAAGGTTAAGTACTGATTAAATTACTCTTCCTGGTACCAGCGCCTGGGTGGCGCAGTTCATTAAGCAGGCCTCGGCTCAGGTCATGATCTTGTAGTTTGTGAGTCTGAGCCCTGCATAGGGTCTGTGCTGACAGCTCAGAGCCCGGAGCCCGCTTCGGGTTCTGTGTGTGTCCCTCTCTCTGTCCCTCCCCTGCTTGCACTCTGTCTCTCTCTCTCAAAAATAAACAAAACTTTTTAAAAATTGCAAAAAAAAAAAAAAATCACTTTTCTTAGTACTAATTTCCTGAGCATTCTGAAAAATACATTTACTTGGAAATTGAGACACTGATCACTAATGGCTGGGAAGCCAACCGCACCCAGAAAAAAAGATAGAAACATCGATCAATGGAAATGACATGTGTGTTTTTGACAACATAGAATCTTATGGTTTGAAAGGACCATCATCGTGGTCAAAGTACTTAACACCTGCTAGAATTTTGCAAAAGGAGCAATGAAAGTAAAACAGAACAGCACCAAAACATACACATATACTCGGATATATAAATGAAGGTGCTAATGGGCCCCTTCCATTCAAATTCACAGGAGTCCAGGAGATGAGGGGTTTTGTGTACTTCAGGATGGAAAGCAAGTGATGAGAGTGATGAGAGAAGTAGCACATACGGGGCATTAAGTGGTTGGACAGCGCCAGCTCCAGAAACAGGTAAACGGAACTGGGATGGAGGCAGAACACAGGAAAGACAGAATCCAGGGTGGCTGTCGCTGTCGGGCTAATATCCGAAACTCTATCTTCTCTGGGGTCCGACAACACACCAGAGTTACTGAGTTAAATATTTAAGTACTTGACACAGCTTATTCTTTTCATTCCCACAACAGCACTAAACACGTGGGAGGTAGGTGCCGTAACCACTCCAATGTCATAAAAAGGACACTGAGGTCTACAGAGGTAAGGTGACAAGGCTAGAATCAAACTCATCTGGCTCCTACTATCACGCTGCTTGATCCGACCCCGCTGACCTACCTGCCCAGGTACCAACCCGCCCATCACAGAGTAGGCTCTTCTGTGTGATAAACACGTATTTCCAACTCCCTCAAGCCTTGAAAGGCAGCCAGAGTTAAGGAGGGGGTGTCTTCTCTAATGGCTGCCCTGGAAAAAATAAAAACCAAGCAAGCTAGGAGGGAAACGGACCACAGGAATAGCACATCCGCTCAGACACAGACCACGGGGGAGACCTGAGACCCAGCCTCTGATACTCCCGGACTACGATGTGTTTCCCTCTTTAAAGAGCTGAGAGATTATTCCTCTTAGACCATCCCGCCTTCTGAAGTCCTCTCACAACTCACCTCCTGACCTGAACTTCAACTTCCCCTGCACTTGACACTGCTTCTCCAGCCATTGACAAAACCAAACCTCCAAATTATACAATGGTATTCAAAAGAGAAAATAGGCGACTGCATTATTTGAGGGCAAACGACAAGCTCAAAAAAATTTTTTTTTAATGTCTAGAGTTTTGTCAAATCGACTTACACGTAGAAAATAAATATTTAAATATTTTCTATTTAAATAAATTCTTAAGAATCTTACAAAATCGACTTCATTCCTGGCAAAGAGAAAAGCAAATGAGTGATGGAGTTTTCCCATATTAAAGGGAACAGTTATGTAACCATCCCGCGTGAAGAACCAGGCTGAAGTCAGAATGATAAAAGCCTGAAATAGCCCTGCTTCTTTCCACAAGTTAAGATCATAGTGGGGGATTCCATGTGCAACATACTTCTCGTACAGCCTCTGTCCTCTCATGAAGGCCTTCACTTCATTGTCCAGCGGGAAGGTGCCATCATCCTTCCGAAAGCGGTAGAAGAGTTTGACATCCTTGAACTCCTTATGTTCATCACACACTGAAACACAATATACAGAGAGAGACCAGTAAGAAAAAGATATATATATATATCCTTTAATTCCCCGTATGTAGTGAGATGCTAATTAAGACTTGTTTTACTACCTAAATTTTTAAGCACACTCCTCTATGATTTCATATATGTATTTAACACAGTACCTGGAATAGAGTGAGTACTATCATCAACACCATTGCCATCACTTCATTATCCAGTAAAAGGGTCACAAAATTCAATTCATCATTCATTCCACAAACTCTTCTTGAGCACCCTGGGGGAGGTATCAGCCTCAAAGAATGTGAAATCCAGTGAGATAAAGAGCAACATTAACATGTAATTAAAATATGGTACAACAGGGCAATGAAAGAGATGAGGAGATACTGAAGTGAGAGACCAAAGAACCCCAGTCACCTCACTACAAGGAATGGACACTTCTCTGAAGAGCTTGCATGTAGCTGGAGACCCGAAGAATGGATAGAAAATGGGCAAAAGCGAAGAGAAAAGGCATTCCAGCCCAAGAGAGCAACAGCATGTGAAAGGTCTTCGTCAGTTTCAGAGATTTCAAGGAAACATGTTCATGAATGTTCACGGAGCCATTGAGAGTAACGGCAAAAACGTGGAGACCCCTTCACTGTCCATCAGCAGGACAATGGGGAAAGGTACAAAGGCATAATTATATAAGGCACAGGTAGCAGTGAAAATAACCAAACATGGGTGAATCTCACAAACAGCATCTTGATCATGCTGTAAATGAATAATCATGCATTTTTATAACGATTTAAAGCACTAACAACAATATGATACTTTGCTAAGAGAGGCATCTACAGAAAGAAAAACGTATGAAGAAGTAAATGGAAATAAACCCAAATGCCTCTTGGAGGAAAAAAGGGAATGTCACTGGGGAGAGGTGCTCAGGAGGCAAAGCGTTTTATCTCTTACAGGGGTAGGTTCATATCTGGAATAGAAGACGTGGCCCTTGGTGACCTCCCAAGTTACCTTGACTGTCAGTGGCCACCTCACTCACCATGATGAATGATGCCCCGGTCTGCTAACTTCTGCATAAGTTTGATTGCTGTTTCTCTGTCAGAAGCCTCTTTGTGCTCAATCAGCCAGTCAATCAGTTCTTTCGCAACAAAGCAGTTTGGGTAGGTTTTGAGATGATGTCGCCTATCTTTAATAACCTTTTCTTCATGCAGCCTGAGCCTGGAAAGAAAGTTTGGCAATCACTTTAGGAATTTTAGTGACAACACAAATCAGTAAGCTGCTTTCAGAGCTCAGTAACAAGTGGAAGCTGTAAATGCGTGGAGTGCCATTCACATCCCTGGATGGGATTCTACGCTGCCAGGGCCCAGAGGCCCCAGAAAACGATTGCACTCCCAGATCTAGAGATGCTGCGAACAGATGGGAAGGAAAACAACCATGGAGAAGCTATAGCTCTCCTGCCACCCGGGGACTGAGAAAAGCTTTCTCACCCTGCTCTGCCTCACTGCCTTGTCTTAATTCCTCCACCAGTGGGCTTATGGCTTCCACCAAACGGTAAACAAAAACTCTAGATACTTGCTGAAACCAGGTTCTTCCTCTTCATCACAGAGTGCGCAAGGTCCACCACATCTGCATTGATCACGTACGTAACAGATACAAATGAGGGCCTGTCCCCTGCCCACTAGGCATTTCCAGACATTAGAGACATATGTGAGAAAGTACACAAAGATCCTGGCCTTTGCCTGTCCCGCTTTCTATAGGGACAACAGCTCATCCTTACGTGACGCTTACCAGGTTCCACGTGCTTATTTGAGCACTTCCCATAGATGCACTAGTGTCTGCAACAGCCTCATCAGAAGTTCAGAAGTTATTATTACCAGCTCTCTTTTTTTTTTTTTTACAGCAGAGAAAACTGAGGCCCCAGAGAGATTAAGTGACATGTTACACAGCTAACAAGTGATGAAAATTGGATTTGAACCTGATGGTCTCACTTCAGAGTCCCACCTCCAAACTGTCACATCCTGTGGCCTTTAGCCAGGGAGGGATAAACCAAAAATCCAGGAGAGATAGATTAAAGCTGTTGGACAAACACAATTTATTTACAGGCTGATGGAGTAGTGTGGAGAAAAATGGTTGACACTGAACCTTGCCTTACTCCTTTCAGAACTCAGTGACTTTTTTCCAAAAGAGTCTTTTTTTAAATGTTTATTTAATTTTGAGAAGAGGGGAGGGGCAGAGAGAGAGAGGGAGCCACAGAATCTGAAGCAGGCTTCAGGCTCTGAGCTGTCAGCACAGAGCATGACGTGGGGCTCGAACTCACAAGTGGTGAGATCATGACCTGAGCCACAGTTGGATGCTCAGCCAACTAAGCCACCCAGGCGCCCCTCCAAGAGTCTTACATCTGCCTTTAAAAAAGAAAAAGTTTCTTCCATTTGTTTTTCCTTCTCCAACAGCCTTGCATATACTTTTTAATTCTTGAGGGTTTGAATGGGGCAAAGATCAAGATCAGCTTTCTTCCTGCTTCGCCCACGTGGTCCTATGCTCCTAACTTCATTTTCTCAACTGCCACATGAGTAATGCAGAACAGCTATATGCACTTGGCACGTGGCTTGATGTCTCTTTCTTCCTCTGTAAAATGGAGGCAGTTGTGCTCGGCCTATGCTTGGTCATGTTGCGCCTGGGCAACATAATGTCTGTTAAGCACCAGCACCCAGCACCGTGCTTGGCACAGAACAGGCCCTGACCTCCTTTCTTCTACTTCCTAAGGAAGAAAGTAGATGATACTCTTGCCTGCTTTTCTACCAGAGTTCACCTAATGAAATTTAATGGGTTCTGGCACCCCAGAGGGTAGAGTATAAGTTGGGAGTATTCTGGGCTGGGGCTCTGAGCCTTAGATCTCTTTCTTGCTACACCACTGTTCCAGGCTAAAGTGTAATCCCCTAAAATTTAGATGTGGAGGCCCTCACCCCTGGTACTTCAGAATGTGACTGTATTTGGGGGGTTCTTTTAAAAGGTAATTAAGTTAGGGGCACCTGCGTGGCTCAGTCAGTTAAGCATCCAACTTTGGCTCAGGTCATGATCTCGCAGTTTGTGAGTTCGAGCTATCAGCTCAGAGCCTGGAGCCTGCTTCGGATTCTGTCTCCCTCTCTCTCTGCCCCTCCCCAACTCATGCTCTCTCTCTCTCAAAAATAAATAAAACATTAAAAAGAAAATTAAGAAAATAATTTTAAAAATAAAAGATCATTAAATTAGGGGCGCCTGGGTGACTCAGTTGGTTAAGCGTCTGACTTCGGCTCAGGTCATGGTCTCGCAGTTTGTGACTTCAAGCCCCACGTCTGCTTCAGATTCTGTCTCCCTCTCTCTCTGCCCCTCCCCCACTCATGCTCCGGCGCACTCTCTCCTTCTCTCTCAAAAATAAACAAATGAACATTAAAATAAAATAAAAGGTTGTCAAAAGGAGGTCATAAGGGTGACCCGAATCTAATATGACTAGTGTCCTTATAAGGAGAGGCGATTAGGACACGCTCATGTACAGAGAGAAGGTCATAGGCAGACACACCGAGAAGGTGGCCAAGGAGTGAGGTTTCAGAAAAGCCAGCCCCGCCAGCACCTCGATCTCAGATTTCTAGCCCCAGTACATTTCTGCTGGCCAAGCCGCTCAGTCTGTGATCCTCTGTGCTGGCAGCCCTAGGCTAAGACAGCCAGGAAGTGATTAAGACTGGAGGCATCTGAGCAGTCTGGAGCTGAAGTGCTCGGCTGAGACATCGGAAGGGAGAAGGGAGAGGAGGAGAGAAATGAGGGTCCCAACCTCTATAGGCTGCACAGAAAGAAAACAATCAGGGCACCTGGGTGGCTCAGGCGGTTACACGTCCAACTTCAGCTCAGGTCATGATCTTGAGATTAGGCCCCACAATGGGGCTCTGAGCTGATGGCACAGCCCTGGTTCGGATTCTCCCTCTCTCTCTGCCCCTCCTCCACTTGCTCTCTCTCAAAATCAATAAATTTCTAAAAATTTTAACTGAGCTCCTACTATACGCCTAGTATTATACATATGCTGGCTTAATTTCTGTGGCCTGAATGTTGCATGCTCCCCAAATGCATATATCAAGATACTAAACCCCAAAATGTCAGTCACAAGGGCGTCAGAAACACGAGACTAGGAATATGAACACCAGGTCCTGACACTGCTAGCAATTCCAGACAATCACACTTCTGAGCACCAGCATCTTCCCTGAGAAAATGGGGATAATTATATCCATGATGATTACTTCACCGCACAGTTACAAAGTTCATTAATAAAGATAAAAACAGCATTTGAGCCCTTACTATCTGTTAGGCTCTGTTTTACCTGCTTGACTGGCCATCAATCCTCATGACAACGTTATGACGCAGGTAATGCTAAAGCCACAATACCAACATAGAGCTGTAATTATTGATAAAAAATAAACGAAGTCTAATAAAAAAAACATGTTCACACAGGCATGCTCAAGTCTTACATGAATCCTAATTAATTCGGTGACAATGACACTGAGTAATTTGTTTAACATGCTCAAAGTGGCAGAATGTGAAACATTAATTCTTAGACATGATGTCTGTCAGGAATCCAAGAATAATGAAGACCAATTTATTTAGAAATTGAAACGTGGAACAAGCTACCATCTAATTTGGTGGAGGAGGAATACGTTATGAGCCAAGAGATGAGATTTAGCTCCTATAAACTTTCCAATTAAAAAAAATTATTAGGTAATTTAAATACTACAAAATAGAACCTTTTAGTTACTATCCTTTCTTGAACTCTGAGAGTGGTGCTAATTCTCGAGCATTCTCGAATCCTGCTGATTCTCACCCTGCACAGAGGGGAGAAACCCCCCTAAGTACCTCTTCAGCTCCACCAGGGCCTGGTACATTTCCATGTTTTAAAACCTGAACAGACAGATGATGGAAGGGAAAAAACTCTAGATCCAAGAGATACTATATTTTTAGACAGGTTTCCAGGGTCAATAATGGCGCTACCTACCATCTTTTGACTTATTTCATAGTCAGAAATACAGAATTCTAAAAATGAACATTAAAAATTGTACATTCTAGGGACACCAAGGTGGCTCAGTCTGTTGAGCGTCGACTCTTGACTTCGGCTCATGTCATGATCTCAGGGTCGTGAGATGGAGCCCCACATCAAGCTGGGTGTGGAATCTGCTTACGATTTTCTCTCTCTCTCCCTCTGCCCCTTCCCTGTTTGTGCTCTCTCTCTAAAATAAAATTGTAAAAAAAAAAAATTCTGCATTCCAGGAAAAGTATCACAATAAACAGATAAGAATTTTCACACTGCAAACACATAACCAAGTGGTTCTGCATAGCATTGTGGGCACATAATGTTTGCTGAACAAACAAATATCCAAGGACACTAACAGAAATGACGCCATTTCCAAAAAGGGAAGGATGCTTCTCAGTAACTTAATAGGAGTGAGTCTGACTCCACAACTTAGTAACCATCTATTTGTACAAATGATGCTTTCAATTCCAGGGTAATCAATTTCCAAAGTTTTAATCCCTGTTGTATGTGTCTGAGTATTTTTCAAAAAAACATTTTCCTTTTACTTGAACTAAACTGCACCCCACAAAACATTTCACAATTTAAAAAAAAAATTTTTTAATGTTTATTTATATTTGAGAGAGAGAGACAGAGACAGAGTATGAGCGGAGGTGGGGCAGAGAGAGAAGGAGACTGTCAGCACAGAGCCCTATGCGAGGCTCAAACTTATGAGCCATGAGATCATGACCTGAGCCAAAGTCAAATGCTTAACCCACTGAGCCACCCAGGTGCCCCTGGTTGTCACAACTTTTAATACGCTAATATGATTGGAGATCTCCAAAAAGGGAATAGATTAAGGAGTATTTCAAAGTCTTATGGAAAAATAAAACTGAGTAGCTAAGCCTCTCATGGAATTGAACAGCTTCATAAAATGCTGAGCAACGGCCTAAAAGCCACATTTTTAAGTAATCTCCATACCCAACATGGGGCTCAGATTCACAACCCTGAGATCAAGAGCCACACACCCACAAACTGAACCAGCCAGGCACCCCCTAAAAGCCACACTTTTAAATATACCATGTTTCCTGGACACGTTGGTCACATTGTCTGCCAAGTCCAACATCCCCTTCCATTTAAAACTGCCTCCCACCCCTTACCCACCTCAGGCAGGGTTCATAACCTTAGGCCT